TTCACTTTATTAATCTGGCTGGCTACACCATAACTGTTAAACATAGGGACGCATCTAAAGGGCCTGGACCCTCTCATGTCTAATCAAGGTTTATCTCTGCCAAAGACATTACGCTTCTCTAGATTCAGCTAGATTCAATAAGCATTTAACTTTAAAGTCAACAGCACAATGCTCATAGACATAGTACAAAAAGTAGATTGAGTGTCGGTGTGAGGGTTTGTTGTGTGTGAGGTTTTTCTGTTTTTCATACAGCTTTGATTACTAGCTTGGAAAAATAACTGAAGTCAAACAAATGTTTCTTTTTCATGATGTGCTGGTTACTAAAAATCTCTAAAAGTGAATAAAGCTCTACTATCCGGTGTTTCTGACCTACACCAGATGCTACAGCTAAACATAGGCATAGCAGAAACTGCTGCAGCTCCGAAATCATTTGTCACTGAGAGAATAGCCATGTTCCCTCTCTCCTCTGTCTTCTCCAAGCCTCCATCTCCCCCGTGTCTGCACAGCCTGCATCTTCTCCAGCACCCCGCAGTAAGTATCTCCTATGAGTTCCAGCACTCAGAATCTCCTCCAAATTTTAGGGATTAGCATAATACCAAGCAGCAACTCGTGAAGTAGACCTTTACAGAAATTTGCCTTTATAGAAATGTCTTTTTTCTTTTTTCACCATTTGTTTTCACACAGGTTCGGTGGCTGTTTTTCCAATGGAATGTCAAGATGAGATCTTCCCTGCCAGGGCTGACCACGTGAGCAGGCAAGGCAGCGAGGGCCTCAGGGAATTCCATTCAGTGTGGATAAAATGAGTTTCTGTCTAGAACCCCAAGAAAGGCTGCAGGCAGCCTGAGGAATGACGCTGTATGTGTGCATATGTGCGTTGCAGCTTTTCAGCACTACATGCTGTGTGATATTTTATACTGTAAAAGAGCCATCATTTACATGCAACAAAGAAGGTTCATCTTGAACGCCGCCCTTAGTTCTGGATCAGGACCGCTTCGACTCACTGGCTATCACTGAACGGTTTCGACACCTTGGCTCCAGTCCTGTCATTGTCTGGGTAGGAGGGCAGGTCAAGTTCCCATCTGCTTCACAGCGAGGTGCTGACGACCTCTTGGCAGCCACTACGCCTGCTCACACTCCGCATGACACAAATATAAGACCTTATGCTACTTTTACCCTTTCCATCCCAACCCTGAATAGCCAGATATCGTCACAGGTGTCTCCCCCGACACACGACTCCCGTGCTCAGGAGGGTGAAAATTAGCGCAAACATTCTGCGGGGTGTCAGCCCCCCACTCCCTGTCCCTCTATGGGCTGCAGGCCTCACTGAGTCATGGAGCTTACTTGGAGAGGATCGATATTCCCTTGGGTTTCCACCCACAACTTCTGAAACTCTCTGACCAACAGTGGACATCGCTGCAGAGCAGTGAGAGAGAAATAAGCCAAGCCATATAACCCACTGAATGGGCCACAGAGCTTTTCAGTGTGATATGGCACAGATGGGATTGTCACAGCACAGAGGAGATCACCACGACACAGAGGAGATTACCACAGCACAGAGGAGATCACCACGACACAGAGGAGATTGTCACAGCACAGAAGAGATCGTCACAGCACAGAGGAGATCGCCACGGCACAGAAGAGATTATCGCGGCACAGAAGAGATCATCATGGCACAGAGGAGATCGGCACAGCACAGAAGAGATTGTCACAGCACAGAAGAGATTGTCATGGCACAGAGAAGATCACCACAGCACAGAAGAGATCGTCACAGCACACAGGAGATCGCTACAGCACAGAAGAGATCTGATCATCAAGGCACAGAAGAGATCATCACAGCACAGAAGACATCAGCACGGTACAGAAGAGATCACCACGGCACAGAGGCAATCGACACAGCACAGAGGAGATCTCACGGCACACGACACAGAGGAGATCGCCACGACACAGAAGAGATCGTCGCGGCACAGAAGAGATCACCACGGATTTCAACCAAAGAGAAGCAGTCATGTTTCCCACCTTGTACAGCATATACTGTATCTTTTCTCATAATCATTTTCCTTTCATTGTGATAATTAAGATTAAGATTACGTTTAAAATGGATTTTTCTGATTCTAGGGGGAAGTTCTGCAAATACAGAACAGTGACCTGAGTGACACCAAAACCACAGGGGGGCAGTCAGGCGGGGTGTTATTTCCACCTGTCACTGACCTGTGACGGATATAAACTCATTGGCTCTGTTTGGGTTTTGCCCCTGGTAACCTGTTTGGGTTCTGCCCCTGGTAACCTGTTTGGGTTCTGCCCCTGGTAACCTTGTTACCGTCCCCTGACTGGCTGTGGCTTTTCATGCCCCATCAGATCGGACTTCCTTTCAGTCCCTGCTTAAAGCGCAGCTCCCGTTCTGTTCCATTGGCACGTGCTGCCAGTCCCACACCAGGCACCCCCCGTCCCCCCGTCCCCCTGTAAGCGACACTGTTTTTCCCCCATTAAAGGCCCAGATCCATTGCCAGCCCCAATGTCACACACTTCTGCCTGCAGTCCCAAATGTTTCCACAGGTTCTTTCTTCCGCTTCCTTTTTTTGGCCTCATTCTGTCTGTCCATTCTAATACTCTCTTACATTAATGTACTGCAAATAACACATGTGCACCAAACCAAGGGAGTAGCATTCATACCCCCCTCGCAATGGGGAAGCTGGCATCAGCCTGAAACGCATCTCCTGCAGATGTTGCAACACAGCTGATCCAAAGCATTTCTGGAACCAAAATCACTCCGTCCTTAACCTCGGCGGCTTGTAATCGTGTGTGAGAATAGCAGCTAGCGCCTGTAAAAATTCCAGAGCACTGAAAGAGTCATAAAGTCCCCTTGTTTAAATACTATGGGGGGGGGGGCTTTAAAATAATCAATCAATCACCAATATAATTCCTCAGACAATTCTTCATGACCCAAAATCAATGTGCTCAATCACTACAACAAAATGCTATGTGCTACATTTTATGGACAAAATGTTAATATAATTTTATCTCACTTACAAATAGGCATGCCAGATATAATCGGCTTGGTGATCTTATTAAGGACAGACTGTGTTTTGAAGGTGGGGGGCTCTATGGATAAACAGCCTCCGTCCAGGAAAGCAAGTAGCAAAAAATGCTTTCAACAAACAGAAAGCTTAACTTGCCCGAGAGCTGCAGGGAGGTTTGTGTGAAAGATCGACTGCTGGAAAGCATGCAGAGAATGAAAAATGTTATGCATCTGTTATGCAGACAGAGCCAATAGTGAAATACTGTAGTGGGGGGGGGGGAGGGTGCAGGCTGGACCAATGGACATTCACAGGTGTAGCAGCACAAACCTACAGCCAAATGTAACTCTGGCCTTTGAATCCAGCAAAGGTCTGTGTTTAGGGACAGAGGCGTCATGTGTGATGACAAAGCATGTCTGTGTGATGCAGGTAAAAAATACAACGTGAGGAATTTAGATTTAGATTCCAGTCAGATAGGGTAACTAGAAAGACATTCCCAGCATTCCTTCCCAGTTATATGTCTGGTATTGTGCCTGTTAGAAGGTACGTGGGCGTGGTCAGCGGGGGCGGGGCAAAGGCTGAGGGTGGTCAGCGGGGGCGGGGCAAAGGCTGAGGGTGGTCAGTGGGGGCGGGGCAAAGGCTGAGGGTGGTCAGTGGGGGCAGGGCAAAGACCCCAGCCCACCGGTGCCACGCTCTTGATCCTGATCCAACACCTTTCCACGTTCACTCTTTCACCTGCTATCACGTCCCTCCCTGCTGTTTTTCTAACCCCTGGCTGCTCTCATCCTGGCAGAAGGCCCCGCCCCTTTTACAGAAGGCCCCGCCCCTAAGCCCTCCTCCCATCCTGTGTCAAGCCACTCCCCTCCGAAGCCTAGTATCAGTTATTCTTATCAGTACTAACATGTATCCACTTTCCTAGAAGCATCTTAATTATTTATATAGTTTTATTGTGTCTGGAAGTCATGGCAATGACACTTTGACAGGACAACAGTTTACGGCTACTCATCTTTACATGTTACCTTCAGATCTCAGGTCTCAAAGACACCAGGATGTTACCGCGAGCTGATCTACCAGTGCTGCCATAGGTAGGGAGCGTCAGGAAGAGACCCAAAGATATAAATGAGTAAAGGTCCTCTGGTCAATCACACAGAGGAGGCCCAGGCAGCATGCCGTCAATCTCCAGCGGACTCAGAACAGCATGAGGCGCTGGGTCTACAGAGACGACCAGGGCAGAGAGATTGATGGGTTGCAGATGAGAGATGGGAAGCCAGAGAACAGGAGCCCATTCAGAGCAGATCTCATCACCTCGTCACTTCCTGCCAAATCTGTGCGGAGGTATTACTGCAGCCTAATTATTCCTGTGCATGTTTAGATAAATCCAGGGAGTCTCAGGGTGACGCTGTGGCCACATTTCTCCATCACTCATTAAATGAAGGAATGATTAATATTTTCACCCCCTCCCATTCTGTGGCTCGGCTCAGGTGGATGGGGCCGTCAGATAAATGATCCATTGTTCACAACAGACAGGAAGGTAGCGGATGGACGGCAGCAGGCCGCGTTGGTCAGGGCAGGAATTATCCTCAGAATCAAACAGGACCTTCTTTGACAGAATGCTGTCTTTTGCTGAGCATCCTTCCTAATATTACTGGCTGGCATCTACTGAGTGGGGGCCGCGGTAAGACCAGAAATCTCACATGCTGCCCTCCATCCATCCAGGATGGGAAACGCTTCATATTTACATTAAAACTCATTTTAAAAACATGGGTATATTTCTGAGGATGTGACAGACAACTGCTGGCATATTCTCTAATACAGCTTTTAAAAATTTGTTCTTCTCAAAGGTTTCTAAGTAGCATTTAGACAAGCATTAGAACATGAATTAATTGAACCATATTTATATATTTTTATGGTTGTAAACCATTGTAAAGTACTAAGTCAGCCCTTGCATTAAAACAAAAAACCAGTACAGAAAGTATTCTGACTTACAGGCTGGGCAGGTCATCGTCAGATCATCTCCTCCAGCAAACCTGGACCTGAATCAAAAGGAATTCAATTAAAAACATGTATCTTTACTGACCTCTGGTTACCTTTGAATCCAGGACTGTTGCTTTTCATTTATTCTTGGACTTTTCCCACAGAACGTAGGAAAAATACAGTATGTAGGGTCAATTTTTATTGTGTTGTGTCATCTTTGCGGATTACAGCTTTTGCAATACAACTGCTGTTTTACCTTAGCTGGAAAAGTAAGCAACGTATTAGTAAGTTATTTAATTAACAGAAAAGCCAAACAAAATGTTTTAGGTTCATTCCTTAGGAGCACAGCAGTTCTCAAGTGTATTCTTTAGTGTTGTGTGAGAACATAGCATTAATCATCTATGCTGCGTAGCAGGATAATGAGAGAAGACGGATGGATAGATGAACAGGGATTTGGGAACAAAACAAAGACCTTATCAATCCAATTCGCCAGATGCTCACAAATTAACTGAATGTTATTCCTGTAACTATTTATTATATTATTATAATAATATTAATAATTACTACAAAGGCTTAAGACATCCAAAACAGGGGTTATAGTTATGCACTATAAATACAGATTATTTTTTATCATTACATGTCTGCAACATAAAATAAATTTACTGATCACAGGAGTTACCCTCACAAAACATTCTCTACAAATTTACAGTTATTTATTCAAACCATTGTACTTTATAAAACCAGCTGTCAAACATTGTTTTTGCTTCTCAGAGTCCCTTCGCATGTGGCTGTTAATTCAATTTATTCCCAAAATAATTCCATTGCCAGTGATTTACTCTTGTCACCCACATAACCAGCTGTGAGCAGGAGAGCAGTAAGTACCCCGAACATGGGGGAAAATCCTGTCCTGAGAAATGAGCTTTGGAAGGAGATCCATCCCCGGCCCTCAGCTGCAGCCTTTCAGAGTGACGCCGTTATGGGATGGCACGGGAATGACCCTGGACCTGCCTACGTCACAACGCTGGCCTGAGTCTCAGAACCCTCCCTGCCGTTCAAGCAGCACACATGTTGTTAATGGGGAGTGACACCCTCCATCAGAGGTAATCCAAACCACACGAGTAAAACCAAACTCCCCACCCTCCACACCGCCTCTCACGGACTCCTCCACCGATTTAACCTGTCCATAGTCGTTTCTGAATTCCTGCCTTAATGTGGAAATGCACACCTGCTCTCGAACTGGGTGACAGGAGGGACAGCTTATTATATGGGCTGAGATGGGCAGCTTTCACTCAAGTGTTTGTACGAGTCTTTGGTTTTACGGGAAAGAAAATTGTGTTTCCCAAGAGTCTCTTCTTCAAAGGCAGGTCACTGTTTGGCATCTCAGAACATTCTGCTCCATTTCCTGGAAGAAAACGCGATAGCGGGGCGGCCGTCCATTTTATTAACGCTGGAGTCCGTAAGAGAGGCCAGGCATATCAGCATTCTCTGCAAGCGCTTTTACGCACAGATGTCCAGGCTGTGACCGTTCGGGTTGAGTGTGTCCATAAATCTAGGCGAGATGGAACAAAGAGCCGTCTCTTATTTCCACCGACCCCCATTTCCAAAACAGCAGAAAACACAACTTTCCGTGACAAATGACCGAATGCGAAATTAATCTCTCTTATGTTTGCGGAAAAGCAAAACATCTTTGGTCATTAAATGGCTGAAGTAATGAACTGTAGCAATATGGCCTGGGTTTGCCAATGGAAAATACGGAATACCATTTTAGGGAACGGGCCTGCAGATTGGACCAGGACTGTGCTGTTGGAATGGGACAGGGGGATTGGACTGAGACTGCAGTGTTGGACCGGGCTTTGGGTTGCTCTGGGGCTGTGATTTCAAGCCGACAGTGTTGTTTTTGTGACAGTAACCTTGGAAAGGGTAGCTCAACACATGGGATCCTAGATTTCGCTCCTCCTCCCCAAATGTAGCTGTCCCGACTCCCCCTACGGCTTCCCAGTACAATAACCCAATCCAGCACACAAACTGTACCACACCTCGCCTCACCACGACCCTCTGGGCAACAACAAACTGAATTCATACACAGCACCTGCCATGTTTGTGAACTAAAAGTACTGCTATGTAGGAATGCACCTTCTGATGGACACGTACCTGAGACAACCCTTATCTTACAGCTTTATGGGGTGATTTATATCTGACTTTGAGATGATGACCCCTGATATTGTTCACAGAAGGAAAAAAATGCACTCCTGCTCTATGCACAGCATTCTGCTGTGGCTGTGTGGCCAATTTTTCACTGTCAGGCTGTTGCCCAAGAAGATGCTTCCCAGATTTATGCCTTAGTGAACTTCTGCTCTATAAATGCACAGTGCAATCTTATTAAGCAGAAACAATAAAGATGGATGTGGGTAAGCATTAGTTATGAGAAGACTGACTTTTTAGTAGGATATTACTGGATTGTCGACATGACTGCTCGCCGTGAGACCACGCTGGCATTCGGATTCACAAGCGGCTCCTGTGTCTCTGTCCATCCCTGCGAAGTCTTTGTCACATGGAAATGCGGGAGTCACTGTCACCGATGGTGTTTCAGCTTCCGTGCACTGTGACGCAGACAGCAGTTATTTTTTCAGCTTTCACTCACAATATGCGGAGATGTAAGGAGTCCGCTAAGACCACAAGCGGCCGCCTTTGTCCATTAATGGTATTCAGTGCCGTAGTTTTTGCCTTGTGGAGCATAAAAGCTGGTAAACATCTACAGACCGAGGTGCTCACATACTATGCCTTCAGTCATACACTTTCCTGTTTTATTCGTATAGTAAGGCGTGCTGCCGCCCGCGCAGTGTACCCGGCACAGTGTAGCTGTGCTCAACCGCGGCTCTGCAGAGGCTGCCTCACTTCCCCAAACACTCAGAGAGTGCATGGAGGCCGTGCCGTGTGCCCTGCGGAGGCTGCCTCACTTCCCAAAACACTCAGAGAGTGCATAGAGGCTGTGCCGTGTGCTGTGTGCATAATTGGGGAATCCTGGGCAGCCCGTCGAACCTACAAGGAGCCATCAGCCGGCACCGGCCTCCATTTCAGCGAGGAAGCCCGCTACCAAACATCCGCTGCTGCCTCAGAGGCCGTGTCTGGACCTCAGGGTGGCAGGCGGCAGCAGAGAACGGCTGCAGCTTCTCTCTGCAGCTTGGTGTGACAAGCAGCGCTTTGCTGGGCAAACATAAGGCAGAGAGGGACCCCACCCCCCCCCACCACCACCACATACGCACCAGAGTATCGCCCCTGTGTCTATTACAATACCCAGAAAATCAATTAGCATAGGGCACTGCGGAAAAGCTCAGACTCACGTGTATGAATTGAATGAATTAATCTTTATTGTCATCATACGAAGTACGATGAAATTGGATGCAATCCCTTCAGTACAAATTCGGCATAAATAAATAAATAAATAAATAAAAGTGTCTATATACAGAAATAAAATTCAGCACTATAACACAATAAAATTACACTAAAATTTATATTGTACATAGACATAAAGTGCAGCACAACACTACACAGTGTTACACAGATAACTGAATACAAACTTCACAACTTCTCTTTTGTCAGCTTTCCAAACCACGGCAGAGCAGAAGCTGCAGGAGGGCTTCGCTACCGCCAAGCCAAGGGCTCCTCAGAGCCACTCATCCTCTCATTTCTATTCCTCAATGAAGGCTTGTCATGATTTTCTAGTAAATATTAATCAGCTGCCCCCAGATACAGTATATATCCAGAAAAGGGAATAAAATATCAGCATAAGATGCACAGGTGACAGACCTTTCAGTACCTGGAAGCTAGTTACCACTACTACTACTGCTAATAATAATAATAATAATAATAATAATAATAATAATAATAATAATAATGGGAAGAGATGGTGTTCTGTTTGTCTGCCTGGTTTCTGTTCCCATGGGTTTCCCCTCCGTTGACGCCAAAACGCCTGTCTTTTGTTATTCATTTCCCGTTTTTAAAACCCGTTCCCAAAATAAAGTCCCACCCGATGGTGATCTGCTCAGAAGACATTCTCCAGGCCACAACAAAGTAATAAACACATCATAAATGCGCTGTCATGCCACTACACGTCACCCCGCTCCATGTCCGCACTGTACACTGCGTGCACTTTCAATAATTCAAGGACAAAAGAGAAGCATAGAGGTGAGGGAGAGATGTCCTTGTCTTTCCATCTGTATGTCTAGGAAAGGCTTCTCACTCCAGTTCACAAACTACCATAAAACATGTATATATACACCCAAACAAAAAGCTAGCATGTACCTCTATTAGAGGTTATTTGGTGTGGCACATCACGGCCTTTGATCTGTGCCACATCACAGCTTTTGATCTGTGCCACATCACAGCCTTTCATCTAGCCAGACATGTTTATCAACCACAATGCATCTTGCTGGGATGAGTTTGAAAGTATAGTCTAATATGCTCAATGTCGTGCTTGACTGTTGTTTATCTGATGCTGCTATGAAACACATGCATGAAACAGAATATAATGAGATACTCTTGTTCTTCTTCCATTGCAAGATTTTCAAGTTGCCGCTGCTTGAAATTCTCATTTGCCCAAATTTATGCCAAGAACTTTACGTCTTTGGCGTGGAATATCTGTCCCTGACTCATGACTTTAATAGCTAGCTAATAGCTGCAGCCATACAGATGGACTGTGGACTACAAGCCACACTGTCAAGTCAATAGCTTCTCATGCACTTTTTCGGCGAGACAGTTCGCATCCACGGGTTGGGGAGGACATCGTTCTCCTAGCTGAGCTCACGGTTCATTCAATTTTAACTGAACTGATTCCACGTTGTTGCATCAGACTCTAGTGCTCCACTCTTCTTGCAGATTTTCGCGTTCATCAAAACAGCCCCGCTTTATGGATCTCTGCTTCAGTCTGGACACGGGCCGTGCTGCCCGGCCGGGTTTGGACCACAGTGGGGGAGTCATTAGCATGTTTCTTTGGGAGATGGCAGATGGAACAGAGAGGCTGAGAAAACTTCACTGTAATTATATACATATGATCCCCTGG